GGCTTGGTGGTTGGGGTTTGGGCTTGGGGCATGAGCAGGTTTGATGCCTGTGGGTGATGGTAGGGGAGGACCCAACCTACAAGCTGAGGAACTTGGGCTTTGGCAAGGAAGATAAGGGGTATAGACGGGTTCCCCAATTGAGGGCCCTAAGCCCTAAACCCTAAACCCCAAACCCCAAACCCGAAAACCCAAACCCCAAACCCCAAACCCTAAACCCTAAACCCCAAACCCCAAACCCTAAACCCTAAACCCTAAACCCAAACCCCAAACCCCAAACCCCAAACTCCAAACCCTAAACACTAAACCCTAAACCCTTGGGGCTTCAACACGGACCAGGTCGTGGATGCTGCTCTCAAAGCGGTGGCGGAAGGGGTGTGGAGGCACCTCTTTGTGTGTCTTGGGGGGGGTTCGCCCGTTTAGGCTTTGGGGGTTTTAGGTTTAGGGTTTAGGGTTTAGGGTTTAGGGTTTAGAGTTTAGGGGGCGAAGTTTGGGGTTCAGGGTTGGGGGTTTCGGGATTGGGGGATTGGGGGTTGAGGGTTTGGCTTCTTGTTGCATGGGCCGTGACGACTAGCAGCTAGCCGTAAGCTCTCTACAGCAGTTGCTTGAGTTCATTCATCTCCTCTCGGCACACCTCGAACTACTACTTCCCCTCATAAGAAGATAAAAAATTATAAGATTCCGGACAAGGGCAATATAGGGAGTATTAGGCGCGGGGGGACTTCCCCACACCCTGAACCCTAAACCCTAGACGCAATTCCCAATTTGTTTTTCATTTTTAAACCCAACCTTATACCCCAAATCCCGCGCTCTCCAATCAGAGCAATCATGTCGGAGCCCCCTATTCCTTAATGGACCCTGGGGTTCGCCAGCTACTTGTAGAACTCCTTTGAAACCTTTAGAGTTTGGGGTTTAGGGTTTCCTATCTGTGTAGGCCCTTAGGACATTTTGCATGCTTCGTTGCTGGGGTTGAAGCGGACCATCTTTGGGAAGACTTTTCAAATGGTTTGAAGGGCCAACCCAGCCACTATAGCCTCCAGTGAGTGCAACCCCCCGAATTCAAGCAGGCCCCAGGGACCTTGGGGACCAAATGAACCCTAAAATTGGCGTCGTATGCCCTATACTACTATAACTCCTATTAAGGTCTATGGACCATAAACCCTTTTAGGGTTCATATCGTCCCCTAGGGACCCAACGAATGGACCTTCCGCCTCCGTCCCAAGCGCCGTGGCAAATCCTAAAAACCCTCAGAGCGCTCAGCCCTAAACCCTAAACCCTAAAGGAACCCCGCACTCACCGGGAGCAGCGCGGCTAATGTAGGGTCGGAGAAAAAAAACGAATAGTATGCCCTTATGGTCCCTTTATAATTGCAATTGGACTATATTCACCCCCCCCCCCCCCCCCAAAGCCTATTTAAAATTATGAAGGCCCCTATATTGGCCTGCGCCCGCCGCAAAGGTGGACGCCTGATTTCTGGGAGAGCCTCTCTGGTGAGGTGCCGCTGCGCTGAGGGCTTCGAGATAAGTGCTCGGTGGGTAAACCCTAAACCTAAACCCTAAACCTTAAACCCTAAACCCTAAACCCCTTTAAGCCCAAAGATTAGCCTTTCGTCCCCAAGGGAGCTCAGCACCGAAATCGCCTGAACGACCCTAAAGAAGTTGGCTAAACCCTAAACCCTAAACCCTAAACCCTAAACCCTAAGCCCTAAGCCCTAAACCCCCCCATACTGTCTTTTGCCCCCAACCTGATTGTCGGTTTGAGGTAGAGCGGTCGGGGCTCAGGATCTTGCGACTGGACCAGGCGTGATGAGAGTTTAGGGTTCAGGGTTCAGGGTTTAGGGTTTAGGGTTCAGGGTTCAGGGTTCAGGGTTCAGGGTTCAGGGTTTAGGGTTCAGGGTTCAGGGTTCAGGGTTTAGGGTTCAGGGTTTAGGGTTCAGGGTTTAGGGTTCAGGGTTCAGGGTTTAGGGTTTAGGGTTTAGGGTTTAGAATTTTGGGTTTAGGGTTTAGGATTTAGGGCAGCAGCCGAATAATTCTGGGAAGAACTTAGGGGGGGTTGGGGGGTCGTTGTACAGAGGGGCTAGAAGGGGGGACTCATTGTCCCAGCATGTCCAAGGCACTCTTGTTTCGGGCCGTATTCGAGCAGACGGAAGATGCAGGAGCCAAAACCAGAAACAGAACACCCTAAACCCTAAACCCTAAACCCTAGACCCTAAACCCCAAACCCTAGACACGAAACCCGAAACCCGAAACCCGAAACCCTAAACCCTAAACCCTAAACCCTAAACCCTAAACCCTAAACCCTAAACCCCTAAGAAGTAGTGCGTCACGAGGGCACCTCGGCAGATCTGTGAGAGCAACTCCGGCTACACCTGGCTGCGTTGCCGAAAATCTGAGAGAACACGCTCCTTCGTGGAGCACTGCTGATAGCGTTTTAGGGTTTAGGGTTTAGGGTTTAGGGTTTAGGGTTTAGGGTTTAGGGTTTAGGGTTTAGGGTTTAGGGTTTAGGGTTTAGGGTTTAGGGTTTAGGGTTTAGGGTTTAGGGATGGGCCCCATGCGAGCACATGGCCGTCACCCTTGTGTCTCCCTGGTTTGCATCTTGCTTCCGGGGGTTTAGGGTTTGTGGTTTTGGGGTTTTGCTTCCGGTAGAAGCAGTGAACATTTCACATGCACATGTTTCAGCACCACCAACGATTGCGGACAAGGCCCTCAACCCTAAACCCTAATCCCTAAACCCTAAACCCTAAACCCCCACGCTGTGGTAGGGCATAATGGTGCCATCAAAATGTGCCTCACGAAGACGGGGCCGTGGCCGTGGCATAAAGTATAGGCCCCTAAGCAGTGCCATCGCCGAAGGTCCGGGCTGGATCCTGGGTTTAGGGTGTAGGGTGTAGGGTTGAGGGTTGAGGGTTGGGGGACATTCTTAGTTTCGCATCGGCTGGGACTCCGGGTTTCGGGGTCTTGAAAGGAGGCCTGGTTTTGTTTTGGTTCAACCAAGCTTTGGGATTGGGTTAAAGGTTTAGGGTCAGAGCTTGGTTAGAAATCACACCGACAACCCCCAAAGAATTGAGCCCGACCCGGAAAACTTGTCTCGGGTTTAGGGTTTGCGGTTTAGGGTTTAGGGTTTAGGGTTTAGGGTTTACGGTTTAGGGACCCAAACAGTCCCCGGACGCCAAATAGCCCGGTGGCTGAATTCAAGTGCTCAAGTCGTGGTCAGGGAGCTTAGGGTTTAGGGTTTAGGGTTTAGGGTTTAGGGTTTAGGGTTTAGGGTTTAGGGTTTAGGGTTTAGGGTTTAGGGTTACTTTCAAGATTGGGCATCTCCCAAATGTTCGTGAGTATTCGCTGAACGAGGAAACTCAAAGACCAAACCCCCCCCAAACCCTAAGCCCCTGAATCCCTCGACTCTAAACCTAAGCTCTAGACAACCCTCAGGCCCCCAAAATCGTCCCCGAATCCCGAATCCCTAAACCCTAAACCCTAAACCCTAAACCCTAAACCCCTTGTACAGAAGAAGAGGTGGAGCTGGTGGTGCCCCACACGCCCTGCCTCTCCTGCCACCTGGCGACAGTCGACCCTAGACTAAGGGCCCGTGTTCAGGGCTCAGGTTCCCTTTATACCCTATTTAGGGTTTAGGGTTTAGGGTTTAGGGTTTAGGGTTTAGGGTTTAGGGTTTAGGGTTTCGGGTTTAGGGTTTAGGGTTTAGGGTTTAATAGAAGAACATCCCCTGCTACCCCTATTTTCGCCAACCCCCATATAAGCCCCTTTAAACCAAAAAGGTACCATGTCTATTCCTGGATTGCTCTTTCATCTAGTGTTCATGGTCGAAGGTTTAGGTTTTCGGGCTTGGGGTTCCTGAGCTCATTATACCTAACGCTACAATGTGACCCTAATCACGAATGGCCAGAAGCCCCCCGAAGCCCTTGAAACTCCAGGGCGAAAACCTTTAACCCTATTTTCCGAATCTCTTCAAAGCCTATGCCCAACCCTAATCTTGGGCTACTAATGGTGTTCCGGTATGCCCCCTTCAAAAATATACTACAATAAAACCAAATTCTACTCTGCCTCAGGTGCGTGGGGAGGGGGTGGGGGGAGGAAACCATTCTACTTCACATAGCATTTTGCCTAGGAAACCATAGTACTTTATAAGCAAAATGAGTGTGGTAGTGAGTTGCTTTCATCAGCCAATACTATCTTTTCGCTTGTGGGTCTGCCAGTAGAACTAAACCAGATATTTGTGTTGCTTATCGGTCCGCTGGCAAATCGACAAAGTCAATGCCTGTCAACTTCTCATAGGATGGTTTCCCATTGACCAACAGTAAGCTTGTAGCGGACGAAGAAGCAAAATGAGCCTAAACCCTAAACCCCAAACCCTAAACCCTAAACCCTAAACTGCCATCACACTCATCCTGCTTGTTGTTCTGCTGGAGGAAGCTCCACGAGACACTCATTTTGGCTTAGGGTGTCACTTAGGGTTTTGGGTTTCGAGTCTACGGTTCAGAAGGCTCGTCTTTTTTTTGGGAGGGCGGGGGGGGGGGGGGGGGGGGCAGATGGCCCAAAATTTGGATGCTTCCGCAGTTGGGCTCGCCAAAAAAAAAAAGCCCGAATAGAAGTATTTGCAGTATTTAAACAGCGGCAGCTGCTTTGATGGAGCTACCGCAGAGATCTAGGAGCAGCTCCTTGAAGGAGGAGGACGGGTGCCACCGGCATCAGCTGTGCTTGGGATACCACACGCACCTACAAGCACTGTACCTTGACTGGCTTCTGGTTTGAGCCCCCCCAAACCCTAGACCCTGAACCGCAAACTAACGGACACTTGGGATGCGTTAATTTTTTGGGCACTGTAACTCCGAAGAAACAGCTAACATTTTATATTTTTTGCCAAGGGTTGCAAGTTCAGCATAGCAAAGCCTCTAGCCCCCTGGGCCCTAGCCGAGGAACAAAGGCAGCTATGGTCATCCGGAGCTTTGTCGCAAGCCCTGCAACTTCTTTCCTCTGGGCACCTGTGAGATGGGCCGTGCCTGTGGCTATTGCCACATGCCCCACGCAGGAGCCGCGTTGCAAAAAGCAGTCCTTCGGGTTTAGGGTTTAGGGTTTAGGCTGTAGGCTTTGGGGGCCCCGAAACCACAAAAGAACCCGGAACCCGAAACCTTAAGCACTGCAGTGTCGCACCAACGAGCAGCCCCCTAAACGAACAGCCCTGGTAAGACACGGTACTACAGGCTTCAAGGGAAACTTTTATGCAGGGTTCTAAGTACCCCTAAATACGTTTATCAACATAGTTACCCTTCTTATATCCTTACATACAAGCACCCATGAGCCTCCACGTAGAAATCCGAGTTGCTCTTGCAGGGATGACCCTGAGTCACAAGCTAGAAATAGGCGAACGACCACAGCACCGGCGACAAGTTTAGGGTTTAGGGTCTAGAGTGTCACCAGGGTTTAGGGGGGTTAGGTTTCTTCGGTGTAGGGTGGGGGTTATTAGGGTTGGGTGGGGGATTTAGGGCTGGGGGTTGGTGTCCGTACTGAAGCAGCTGCAGAGAGTTAGAGAATGAGAGAGAGAGAGAGAGGGTGCGGTGTAGGCCCTCCTGTGCAGGACCACCTGCCACACTGGACCGAACAGGAAGAACGATGCTTCGCAAAATGTCCACAGGCCAGGAAGCTACTACAGGGTTTGGGGTCTAGGGTTTAGGGTTAGGGTTTAAGGTCTAGGGAAGCTATTACTTGCTTGGAGATTCACAGGCAGCTATAGCGGGCGAGTAACTAGGGATACCCTAAACCCTACAAACCCTAAACCCTGAAAACCCCAAACCCCAAACCCTAAACCCTAAACCCTAAACCCTAACCCTAAACCCTAAACCCTAAACCCTAAACCCTAAACCCTATACCCTATACCCTAAACCCTAAACCCTAAACCCCAAACCCCAAACCCTAAAAACCCTAAACCCTAAAATCAATCCTTACATCGGGGCCTTGGAGCTCGAGCTGAAAATCGTAGGGCTGAGCCGCTGAGAGCTCAAAGGGCTGAGATTTGTTTTCAGCCTATTCAGGGTACTTAAAAACCCTACTCAGTACCCCAAAGCCCTCAACCCTAAACCCTAAACCCTAAACCCTAACAATTACGCATGAACCTTCAAGTCGGGATTTTGTCCCACTGTAGACTCAGTCTTCACAGGCGTTTCACCCCCTCGAAGCTCTCCTGTTGAGTTTAGTGTCTTCGGCTCGGGGTTTAGGATTTAGGCGTTTAGGGTTTAGGGTTTAGGGTTTAGGGTTTCGGGTTTCGGGTTTCGGGTTTAGGGTTTAGGGTTTAGGGCCGAGGTGATTTTGAGGACTTTGCCCTTGCATTGACCCTAAACCCCCACCCCTCAATCCCCCCAACCGCGTTCACCCCACCCGCCACACCCACCCCTTCCAAATTCCGTGGAAAGTATGCAAATGGTTACATGGCTGACCTGCCGCGGGGCGTGGCGTTACACTGCAAGCAGTCTCAGCCCCGAATTTCATTCAGGTTCTGGAAGTGCTGTTTCGGGTTTCGGGTTTCGGGTTTAGGGTTTGGGGTTTGGGGCTTAGGGCTTAGGGTTTAGGGTTGAGGGTCCCAGAATCCAACCTTATCTGCCCCCGTCCCCCCTCCACCCCTGAATTCCCAAGCGTCAAACTCAGGGATTTGGGAACAGCTGAAACTGATCACTGATTCCGCTGCGGGTTCCGCAGTTCTATGAAGCTACCCAACCAAACCCCTAGATTTGAAGCATTCGAGTTCCTAAACTCCTAGGACCCAGAGTAGGCCCTCATTTCCTTTTTTGGGGCGGTCTAGGTAGACCCTCAACCCTCAACCCTAAACCCTAAACCCATATCAGCCGGCCTAAACTCGGGTTTCCTCGGCCTGAAGATCGCATGCTGGACCTCTTCCTTCCCATCCTCTACGAGCGCGCAGTACCTCGGCCAGCCTGTGGTCAGGAAGGAAGCCTAAACCCTAAACCCTGAACCCTAAACCCAATCCCTAAACCCTAAACGCTAAACACTAAATCCTAAGACCTAAAACCTAAAACCAAAACCCTAAACCCTGAACTGAACCCTGAACGCCGAACCCTAAAGCCTGAACCCTGAACCCGGAACCCGCCTGCCGACCGCTCACTTGCCCTTTTGGGGGCAGCCGGCGCTGGGTTTAGGGTTTAGGGTTTAGGGTTTAGGGTTTAGGGTTTAGGGTTTAGGGTTTAGGGTTTAGGGTTTAGGGTTTAGGGTTTAGGGTTTAGGGTTTAGGGTTTAGGGTTTAGGGTTTAGGGTTTGGTTTAGGGTTTAGGGTTTCGGGTTTAGGGTTTAGGGTTTAGGGTTTAGGGTTTAGGGCTTGGCGTTTCCGAGGAGGAGGCCGGCTTGATGATGGAGGCTGCTCCGCTTCTTGCGTTGCTGGCCCAAGCCGAGGCTGTGCTTGCCGAGGCGTGGCAGGCTTCGTTTGAGCTGCAAACCCTAAACCCTAAACCCTAAACCCTAAACCCTCTTTCACCTATTAGTACTTAAATCGTTTTTCGGATTTTGAACCATCGGGTCCCCGGTGTTTTCAGATTTTGAACAATCGGGCCCCCTCGGCGTTTTTTGTTTTTTTCTCGGCCCACGGGGGTTTATCAGATGATAAGTAAGCAGTATGTTCCGATAACTTAGTCACTTAGTAGCTGAGTGAGTACACGTTACACTTTTTGGGATACGATAACCCCCTATCAAACTGAAAGAGTGAACCCAGCAACCAAGACAATAAGGTGTTGTTGTTGTGCGTCTAAGGTCTCTGGATCGAGTGAGCTTGGTACTCCTTAATGTTGTAGGATCCGATTCTGTGGGCGGGCGGGTATGTTTCCAACACTTGACAAGCTGCTTGACTGGTGAATGCTTGGATCTTGTGATACAGAATCCCAAACCCTAAAGCCCCTAAAATCCGTAAACCCTAAACGCTAACTGCCTTAAACCCTAAACCCCAAAATCCCTAAACCCTAAACCCTACCCATACTGTGCTAGGGATAGGCTCCCGAAATCCTACGCCCCCAGAAAATGCAGTTCAACAGGCTCAAAACGCACGGGCTGACAGCATTTCGGGAAGCTCGGGTTGTGTCGGATGGTTCACTTTCTCCAGATTCAAGGGCGTAGGGTTCAGGGTTTAGGGTTTAGGGCTTAGCGTTGCAAATCTTGTTCTGAAATGCAGTTCCGTGCTTCAGGCGCAGTCGCAAGCCGCTCGCCGTCCTTGTGCTACGAAGGGCAGCGGCAGCGATCCCTTAGAGGCACCCGAGCGGATATGCAAGAAGTCCAAAGCTACATGTGCATACACACGCTTTTTGCCAAAACCTCAAACCCTAAACCCTTAAACCCTAAGCCCTAATCAACCCCAAACCCTAAACCCTGATCCTTAAACCGAAGCCCCGAAGACTCAAATCTTGACCGGCCAACAGACGAGGATTCTGGAAATGAGAGTTGCCAGGGACCCCAAAGAGCTTCGGACTGTGGGTTTTGTGTAGGGCTTAGTGATGAAGAGGACCCCCCCAAACAGAAGAAGCGACCCAGACATATAATGGAAACCACCGAGCTGTCCCCTCGACCCCAAACCCTAACCCCTTCGCCAATGATTCCAATGATCATAAGGCGCCTGCCGCAGGCTCTAGGGTGTAACTAGGTTCTACGGGTGAGGCTTTAACCCTAAACCCTGAACCCTAAGGGTTTAAACCCTAAACCCTAAACCCTAAACCCTATAGGGTGTAGGGTTTAGGGTTTACGGCTTCGGGTTTAGGGCACGCCCAGATGCAACTCAGAACGAAGCAAAGCACAGCTGGCCGAACCCAGACTCAACTCACACGCCGCCACATGGTTTAGGGTTTAGGGTTTAGGGTTTAGGGTTTAGGGTTTAGGACTTAGGGTTTAGGGTTTAGTGCTTCGCGCGTGTAGCTTATATGCCTCCTGGGAGCTTGACTCTCCGCCGGAGGGCATTTTTCAGACTTCCAGCTGCTCTCATGGCTGCATGGGGCACCCTCCTTAGGGTTTAGGGTTTAGGGTTTAGGGTTTCGGGTTTCGGGTTTCGGGTTTCGGGCTTAGAGTTGTTACGGATGCTCGGGGGTGTGGGTGGGGGGGGTTGCAGACGCATTGACGAGTCGCTGGCAGGGCCCGGATATCCGAAGAAAGTCGGTCAAGGTTTGAGGTTCTACGCAGGGGGCTGGGCGACTCCAGCAGAGCTTGCCAAGTCTCACTAAACGCTCCACTGCCCATCGGGTGGTGCGGTTTTTTGGGGGACTCGGGTTTAGGGTTTAGGGTTTAGGGTTCAGGGTGTTAGCTTAAAATAAAACAGTGCTTTCTCTCGAGTGAGCCGCCGTATGCGAAGGGCAGTCATATCCCGAAAGTGCAGGGCCATCAAGCACCCTTGTCCCTCCCCTCTCCCGCTCAGGCGGCCAACCGACCGAACCCCCGTTCCTCTTATCCTCTTAGGGTCTAGAGCTTAGGCCACATTTGACTCAAGCCCTAAACCCTAAACCCTAAAACCTAAACCCTAAACCCTAAACCCCCGGCTCCGGTAAGAACCCTACAATGCTCTGCATCGGGAGCGGGCCGTCCATGTCTGGAGCAAGAAACGAATATTTGCTTCAGGTTCTCCTAAACCCTCAACCCTAAACACTAAATGGATTAGTATCCTTGTTCATTTTTAATCTTTATGATTATTATTTTTTATTTTTATTAATATATATCTATCAATTATGTTTTTTTTTACTTTTTTTTTTTTTTTGGGGGGGGGGCGGTGTCTTAAGGGTCTTAAGCAAGTAGTGGGAAATGGGTAGGGCTTTGGAGCAGGAAAGTCAAACCCTCAAACCCAAAGCTTCAACTCTTCAGGCGACTCGCAGCAGGCTGAGGAAGATGACCTTCGGTGAACTTGTGGGTTTCTTGGTAGCCCAGTGGTACCCTTTACCCCCTTTGTTTAGGGTTTAGGGTTTAGGGTTTAGGGTTTAGGGTTTAGGGTTTAGGGTTTAGGGTTTAGGGTTTAGGGTTTAGGGTTTAGGGTTTAGGGTTTAGGGTTTAGGGTTTAGGGCCTTATTGTAATATGGTTGCTGGGCTACCAAGGTTTACTCTGCCGCAATTGTGAGAAGGAGGCCTTCGTCCCTGAGGCTCCGCTAAGGTTTAGGGGTTAGGGTTTAGGGTTTAGGGTTTAGGGTTTAGGGTTTAGGGCTTAGGGTTTCAGGATTTCAGGGTGAGCCGGAAAGCCCTGAGCCCTGTATATGGGGCTTGAGAAGTAAGAGTGACTTTGTTTGCTAGCGCGTCGTGTCCTCTCCAAACCCCTTAGACCCCTGAACCTGGGATGTGCCCCCTTATACTAGCAGTCCTTGATGGGGATTATAGCAGCCCCTATTATCATCCTTACTAAGGTATACGAACAGTCCTTAATAGGGATTATAGCAGCCCCTATTATCATCCCTACCAAGGACTGTTAGTAAAAGGGGGAACATCCCAACCTTGAGCAGTGTGCGCAGACGAGCGCAGCGCCTTGCGGGCTTGAGGGGTTCAGCTTGGGATGTTCCCTTTATACCAACAGTCGTGAAGCAAAAGGGGTTATGTTTAGGGTTTCGGGGTTAGGGTGTAAGGTTTTAGGGTTTAGGGACTTGTACCCTAAACCCTAAACCCTAAACCCTAAACCCTAAACCCTTGAAAGCTCTTCGGGTCCGACCCTAGGCCTGAAGGCCCCAATCCCCGTCAACCCTAAACCCTAAACCCTAAACCCTAAACCCTAAACCCTAAACCCTAAACCCTAAACCCTAAACCCTAATTAAACCCTAACCCCTCAACCATGCTACATCTCCTTTGATGGGTAGCCCACTGGTGCCCTGGTGCCTTCCGATACTGCAGGCACCCAATCAAAGTCCTGCATGATCCCTTGAGAATTCAGCATACATATATATATATATATACATATGTAGATAGGAGTATACACTCCCCACAAGTAGCCGTTCTAACCGATTACCTACTAGGGCTGGCCCTGTGTCGGGGCTACTTTCGGCTGAGGCGCGTCATCGTAAGACACCTACTACTTCTCAGATGGACCTTGGGCACAAGAGGGATTAGGGAAGCTACTTAGGAAGGTGTACTTGCAGTTTACAATAGGGAGATGAGGAGATCTGCATATTTGGTAGCCCAGCATAAACCCTCTACGAGACTCCCTAGACCCTATGAACCCTAAACCCTAAACCCTAAACCCAAAACCCTAAACCCAAAACCCTAAACCCTAAACCCTGCCACAGGTGACGGAAGAGTTGTTATCCCTACGGGATCAGTGCGCCGACCGTGTTCAGCTCTGATGAGTCAGGCAGTGCGTGCGCGCTGGGGCGGGGGACCCTTCCCGGCGGCTTTTCAAGTGCCCATGAGTCCTAGGCTCATGGCAGGTAGTCGTGGCTGGGCAAAGTGTGGGTGTGTAAGATGTGTGGAGTATTTAGAGAGGGGTCGGAAGAATTAGGAGTGTTCTTCCCCCATGGCCCCCTATATAACTCTACGGAACCCCCCCAAAACCCTATTCTACTTATTGAGGCCCCTATGGTACTAGTCTCAGCTGGTGCTCTCCATGGAAGCCATAACAAGACTCTGATACGAAACGCCCACCAAGATGCGCGTGGTGCGACTGTTTCACCTTGCGAGACCTACCCCCTGAAACCCTGAAACCCTGAAACCCTGAAACCTGAAACCCTGAAACCCCGAAGCCCCAAGCCCCTAACCCCAAACCCCAAACCCCAAACCCCAAACCCCAAACCCCAAACCCCAAACCCCAAACCCCAAACCCCAAACCCCAAACCCCAAACCCTACCCTGCATATTCCAGCCTCCTCCGCCGTCCTCCTCTTGTCGAGCGTGCCACGAAGACAGAGAATCCCGACCAAGGTAGACAGTGCTCGTCTAGCTCCCTAAACTCAAAACCCTAAACCCTAAACCCTAAACCCCGCGGTGACAGGTGTGTTTGGGTGTGCCTACACACATCACAAACCCTTCTTGAAGGTTCATCAGCTGCAATCGCTTATAATTCCCAGTTATCTGGGTTTAGGGTTTAGGGTTTCGGGTTTAGGGTTTAGGGTTTAGGGTTTAGGGCCTTTTTTTCATTCTCCCTTGTTGGGTTTAAGAGGGCCATATTTTAGGAACATTTTTCAGAGGGGTTTAAGGGCCATCCTTGACCCCAGTTATACCTTCTTCAGAACTCTTAGACCTCAAGCCCTATCTAAACCCCAAGCCTTTACACTCTAACCTCCTATTTACCTACCGTTTTTTTTCGGGTTCTACCTACTAATTAAGGGATAGTTCCTATTAACCTGTAGGTAAAAGAGCATCAAGATGTCCTTCACAAGAACCACATGTTCTGGTTTGCGCACGCGAGCACGCGACCAGGGGCCAGGCCATACCTCGCATCGCGACAGCCAATTGCTGACGACGTCGCCTTTGAGCTCTGGCGGACAGGACAAAAGAGCGCTACCCAAGCGTCTGTGACTGAAGGGTTTGGGTTTAGGGTTTAGGGTTTGGGGTTTAGGGTTTAGGGTCTCCCCTCTTTAGGGTCTAGGAGCTAGGAGTTATTGGGCCCCTAAACCCTGGAAGTTTTGCATCCCACCCACCCCCCAAGCCTTCCTTGAACCCCCAAAACCATACGACAAAAAGTTCTGAATTGCTGTAGCCCTAAACTCCGGAGCACTAAACCCTAAATGCGAAACCCTATGGGTTTAGGGTTTAGGGTTTAGGGTTTAAGGTTTAGGGTTTTGGGTTTTGGGTTTAGGGTTTAGGGTTTAGGGTTTAGGGCAAGGGTCCCTTACCTTCTTCATACAGGGTTCTGAAGTATAGGCCCTTGGGTTGAATAGGGTAAGTGGCTCCCCTGTTTAAGGGCCCCTACGTACCACGGGACCATGAAACGACCCCTAAGGACTCAGCCTTGCGGATGCATGTTGTGTTTGTTTTTTTAAACTTGTAGCAAGGTTTAGGGTTTAAGGGTTTAGGGTTTAGGGTTTAGGGTTTAGGGTTTAGGGTTTAGGGTTTAGGGTTTAGGGTTTAGGCTTAGGGTTTAGGGTTTAGGGTTTAGGGTTTAGGGTTTCAGCTCAGGGTTAGGTACGATTACGGCTACAAAGCTCTGCAACAAAGGCTTGTCACCAGTAAAACCACACAGCGGCCCCCCCTTTACAACCCCACTACTTTAGGGTTTGGGTTTAGGGTTTAGGGTTTAGGGTTTAGGGTTTAGTGTTTAGGGTTTAGGGTTTAAACCCCCCAAAGTACAAAGCACATGGAGCCGTCGCCGAAAAAAAAGCAAGGCCTTGAAAACCAACAAAACCCCTAGACCCCTGAACGAGCCCCTAAACCCTAAACCCTAAACCCTAAACCCTAAACCCTAAACCCTAAACCCTAAACCCTAAACCCTAAACCCTAAACCCCACTACCGAATGCCATCAGCCCTAGGTGTCGGAGCCTTGGCACAGCTGCGACGCTGGTCGCCCCGGCTGCAGCTGCGCGTCGCCTATCAGGCACGAAGCCTCAGCAAAACAGTAGAGGGGTTTAGGGTTTAGGGTTTAGGGTTTAGGGTTTAGGGTTTAGGGTTTAGGGTTTAGGGTTTAGGGTTTAGGGTTTAGGGTCTAGGGGTTAAGGGGTTAAGGGGTTAAGGGGTTAAGGGGTTAAGGGGTTAAGGGGTTAGGGTTTATAGGGTTTAGTCTGACAAGTTGTGTAGGGTTTTGCCTTTGGGGCTTGGGGGGGCTTTTCGATTCGCAGACCCTTGGTGCTTCCAGGGTTTAGGGTTTAGGGTTTAGGGTTTAGGGTTGAGGGTTGAGGGTTGAGGGCTTAGGGGGTTCACGACGCCGATGGCCCGGGTTCGAGGATGACGATGAACGCGAAGACATCGGCCCTCAAGATTCAACATAAGCCCCTAAACCCCAACTCTACTCAATGACTCTCAAAAACCCCCGAGCCCTAGAAACCCGGAGGCCCTGAACCCTAAACCCTAAACCCTAAACCCTAAACCCTAAACCCTAAACCCTAAACCCTAAACCCTAAACCCTAAACCTGCGCAGGACTGGCGGGAGTGGCGGCGCGTTCTGCGAGAGCATGTGGCCGCGCACCCTACGCCGAGCCAAACCCGCAGCCCACGGGGTGAAAATGTGGAGCAGGGCGACTCATGGGTTTGGGATGCCTGTCTAAAGGCTTAGAAGTTTTTTTTGTAGTAGGGTTTAGGGTTTAGGGTTTAGGGTTTAGGGTTTTAGGGATTAGGGTTTAGGGTTTAGGGTTTAGGGTTTTCGGGTTTACTTCAATAGACCTGGGGTTACCAAGGGTTAGGGAAGAACTTCTACAGTGTCGCTCTTAAGATACTCTAGGATTTTAACCGAGCTTGCGATCGGCTAACCCTAAACCCCAATCAAGAGGAGCGGCTAAGAGCTTAGGGGTGAAGTCAGCCTTTCCGTGTGCCACTTGCCTGCTGGCAGGGGTCCATAATTTGGGGTTTAGGCTTAGGGTTTAGGGTCTAGGGATTTGCGGGCAACTGATGGTCAAACTCGCTTATGTTGCAGTGGTGCATGGTGCGCATACCGTGCGTGAATGAGTGTAGCTTGCGGTCCACTGCTTTCAGTTCGTATGTGTACAACCCTAAACCCTAAACCCCAAGCCCTAACCCCCAAGCGTGAAACCCTGAACCCCAAACCCTAAACCCCAAGCCTGAAACCGTAATCAAACCCTACACCCCAGGGTGCCCTAAACCCCTTGAGGTCTAGGGTTTAGGGTTTAGGGTTTAGGGTTTAGGGTTTACCCCCGAAAGCCTGCGGAAGGTGGCGGACGCTGCGACAACGCGAGAGGCAGGGTGGCCACGGTGCCACTTGAGAAGCCCTGACTGCCCAAAAAACCCTCAAAACCCCCCCCACAGCCCTAAACCCTAAACCCTAAACCCTAAGCCCTAAACCCTAAACCCTTAAAAAAAGAAAACCTAAACCCTAAACCCTAAACCCTAAACCCTAAACCCTAAACCCTAAACCCTAAACCCTAAACCCTAAACCCTAAACCCTAAACCCTAAACCCTAAACCCTAAACCCTAAACCCTAAACCCTACGAACCAGCAAGCCAAGCTCTGGTCGAAGGCATCCAGAATCTCCATGGCCTCTGTCTCGTCGGAGGCAGGGGCTCCGTGGTTCAGGATTTAGGGTTTAGGGTTTACGGTTTAGGGCTAGGGTTTAGGGCTGAGGTTGCGGGATCCAAACGACATTGAAGGCCGAAACGCCGCCCTGACATGGCACGCCTCCACCTTTAGCTTTTCCTCTGCACTACACAGTAGGGGTTCATGTTTCTGGTTTAGGGGTCTGGTTTAGGGTTGAGGGTTGAGGGTTGGGGTTTAGGGGTTTAGGGGTTTAGGGTTTTAGGAGTTTAGGGGTTTAGGGGTTTTGGGGTTTTGGGGTTTTGGGGTTTTGGGGTTTTGGGGTTTTGGGGTTTCGGGTTTTTTGGGTTTAGGGCGCCCCTGTCAAGGGCATCGCAGGCCTGGTCGGAGCAACGACAGGCGAGACCACTGGAACGCAGGCACTAGAACTTCGCGTTGTTCTATGAAGCCTGGTGTTGCAGGAGCTGGAAAACCCTAAACCCTAAACCCTAAACCCTAAACCCTAAACCCTAAACCCTAAACCCTAAACCCTAAACCCAGGCAATGTCCGGGGTGACGGAGGAGAATCTGCAAGGGTCGTGCCAGGCCAATCTTCTAGTCCTGGTGGAGGGCAAACCTCACTGGCCCTACATTTCCCAGGATCCCGCGGCGCGCCAAGAGATTGCAGATCCCCTACAGCCACAATGTGGCCAACCCTAAACCCCAAACCCTAAAGCCTAAACCCACAAACCCTGAACCCTTCTCCTCAAAGCTTAGAACCCTAAACCCTAAACCCTGAACCCTAAACCCCAAACCCTAGACCCCAAACCCTAAACCCTAGACCCTAAACCCCAAGCCCTACACCCTAAGGCCCTAAACCCTAAACCCCGCAGCTTAGAACTGGCCTTCGCAGTGCCGTCATCTTCTCTGGTCCCAGCCTCGACCGAACCCCCCCCACCTTTCTTCAGCATTGGGTTCAGGTTTTAGGGTTTCGTGTTTAGGGCTTCGGGTGGTTTAGAGCTTCGGGTTTAGGGCTTCGGGTTTTAGGGCTTCGGGTTTAGGGTTTAGGGGACAAGGTTTAGAGTTCAGGGTTGAGGGTTTAGGCGGGGCGAAAGGGGGGGGACGGGAGTTCACTCTTGTATCATCCCAGGAGTCGATATCACAAGCTGCACACACTGCCCAGACTAACAACACCAACTCTGAGAGCCCCCCCCCCCTCTCGACCCGA